GCAGCGAATTCCTATGGCCTTTTGTCTTTCAAATTAACTTATAATACAAGAAAATCTTATTTTTGATATTGTACATCTGAAATTAATAACTAAATATTATGTATAATTTCCCATTTATTATTTTATTGGATAAAATTACTTCAAAGTTTATGAAAATAGAAAAGAAGGATTTGAATCACGGCTACCAGAATATCCTATTTACCATTTATAGGGTGTAAATCCGCCAAACACCTAACCATTATTGTTCGATGATTTAAAGTACCAAAGCAAATTTTCCTTTCCAATAACAGCGTTTTTAATTAATGAATAATTTAGTCCGTTCTCCAAACTTTGAAAAATGGTTTTAGATGCTTTTAAATTTTCTTAACTTTATCTTAAATCATTCTTATCAAATCAAAAAAAAATTCGCAATCTCCAAATTAAAAAAACAAATTTTGATTGTCATTTGCTTTTGTTAATAAATTAAGCATTTCTTAATATTATCCATTTGAACGTAATCTATATATTTTTTATTTATACTTATTCTACATGTATTTGCTAAGTTCTCGCAAATTTAAAAGTTCTGCTTAGTTAATTCCAAAATCTATTACCCTTATTTAATCAAAGTAAGTTTGAAATTATTTTTGGGCCTATTGGATTGCCTCAGCCCAACTATTTCTATTTAAATTCTTAAGATTCTATAAAATTGATTAGAATTCATCATATTTAATAATCTGATATATCTACATTAAAATACATTACGAAAATTAGTTGTCCATTATTCTAAATATTCTTGTTTCATCTAATCATATTCATTAATCAATTATTCAATTTTTTATTTTACTCCATTCAACTATCTTTTTTAATCTTCAAAAAATTTATTAATCTAAGCTTCTTCTATTGGTAAGAATTTGAGTATGTTAGTGAATTAAAAGACTTACTCTGGATGATCATGTAACTAATATATATATATATATCTATAATTTTACTTATTCTAGATCTATGATTTAATGAGGTTAAAAATTCTTTTATGTTTTCACTAATTCCAGAAGGCAAGAACCGCAAATTAATTCTGAATTGTCACTCCTTAGAAAATTTAAAATTTAGCGACTGTGTGTTTAGCAAAATGGAAGATTTTCCATAAATTTCTATTACTTTATTACTTGAGAAAATTGTTAATAAATTGAAAAATATATTTTCCTCAAATTCTAATCTGTAATTCTATCAAATTTGAATTGATTCACATATTACTGAAAATTAAACTTATTAGACAACGATAATAAAGAGAAACAATAAGTTAATAATCAATTTTTCTTTGTCTAATCTAGAAAATTATTTTAACACAAAATCCTCTCTTCATTGAATAACAGATTTTACAGTGGTAATTTAAAAAAGTCATTCCATTAATTATTATTGATCAAAGTATCTAATAATTGTATGATTAAATAATAGCGAGTTGCTTAATTATTTTTCGCCAAAGCATTCCTTTGGGTCTATGCTAAATTTATAAATAAATTAATATCTGCCTTGTCTCTTTTATTTTTTTAAGATTAAAAAATCCCTTTCATAATTCAAGCAAAAATTAATGTTATTGAATAAATCTTAAAATTGAATACTATTATTAGGCATTGGAGTGGTAATATTATAAATTAATTTTCTCCATTATTTCACTCTTGTAGAAACTCTTGACTAATAAATTTACAGATTCAATTTTATAGATCTGTTAACTAATTAACAAACAGGAAATAATTTGATTTCAATATCCATTTAATCTAATTATTGAGAATCAAGAAATAGTTTCTTAAGTCCTTATTGATTCTATAATGTAAGGTAAAATAATTTAACAATTAATTGTAAAGTGTTTTTTTTATACATAGACTTGAAGAAAAAAAATCATAAACCTGTGATAATCATTTACACAAATAATACTCCCCCATTTAAGGAAAAAATATTTTAAGCCCTCTTTACTAATGAATCATTTTTAAAATTATATTAGATATTATTTTTGTTGATTTTTTAAAATCAATTTTCATTCAAATCTTATATTTTAACAATCTATCGATTAAAAAATACACAAAAGGTTTTATTAAATTTAATAGGATTACTCATTTTTGTAAATTTCAGTAATAAAGACTACAACTAACGACATTTATTAAAAATGTTTAATAAGAAGAAACAGTGTAGAATGGAACAGATTCTTATTTGATAGAAAGTATTTCTTCCTAATTTTTCAAGTTAAAAAGGAATGTGAGAAGGGACGATCATATCTTGTAACAAATAGAAAATTGATAATATAAGCTTAGGGATATAATAATCAAATTTTGGTTTATCAAGCTCACAATTTTATAAACCATTAAATAATATGCTCTAAAAAGGTTTCATCAAAATAATTATTCAAGTTACTAAGCAATATTTATAATATACAAGGTCAACACTTGTGGCATAATAATGTTGTTCTATTAAGTTAAAAATAGAAGTATAAATCTAGTACATGTATTCCAACTGAGATCTAGTTCAACATCACAAGTAGGTAATATTTAAATCTAGAAATGGTTCTATTGGTATAAAGTTTTTTTAATCAGTGTTAATTGTTTATAAGAAGCTGTAAATTCAACTTATTTAATAAGAGCAATGGTCTAATTAATTTATGAATTAGTAGCAATAAAGAGTGATAACGCTTTACCATAAGTTTTTTTATAAATTATGTTAATGTATATGGAAAAATTTATAAAAAGCCATGATGAATTGGAATACTCATAATGAAAACCTTGCTACATAATAGTAGCCCAGTAATTTAACAATTAGGAACAAATGAGCAAGTCACACAATAAAAATCTTGAAAATCATTGTGTGGATGATTATCATATACTCATAATAGCTTTGTTAAATTGTAGTTGAAATACAAGAGAAATAATGTTACAGTGACAAAATGTCGAAAATGTTTGATTTTATATTAAAAGTAGAAGCACAATTATAAGCTAGAGAGAAGCAGAAAGAATATACACGACAAACAGGAAGGCCTTAATGATTAAAAATTGGCTTCACTTAGCTC